GGTAAGGAATGATGAAGTTGACACAATGTATTTGAGACTATTATTCAATACAATGTACAGATACATGACAAATATTGAAATCATGTGATATTTTTACTAGTATGGTACTTTTCAAAAATTCCATTAAAATATGTCTATAGTATTGTGTAAGCACATGCTTTTTGTACCATTTTAAAGGATAATGATCTAATTATTTAGCATCTAAATCCTCTATTTTTTTCATTTTCATTCTCATTATCAAAATCACATTAGGGGGGCGTTCAATAAATAATGTCATCAGTACTCGGAAAGTAACAGAAAACGCTTTTCTATGATTTTGTCTTATTGATTTAACTAAAATATTCTCTTTTAATTAAAACACATTCCGTAACATTTTTTTCAATTTTATTTGTTTTTGAAAACATTTTAATATGACCCTTCGTATACTAAAAATGGCGGATCCTATGTTTTCCTGTACTTGTTTTTTTCTTTTTGAAATGTGTTTTCCTAAGTTTGGGAAATAAACAAGTCAAAGATTGAAAGATCTGGCAAATTTTGTAGGTGTGACAAAACATTAACTTTCTGTTTCTCCAAAACCCCTTTTACTCTCCATGGCCTGTGGATTTGGACGCTGTCAGGAAGAAATTTAATGTTGTGAATTCCTCACTCTGTTTCCTTCCTCTCATCAACTTTTCAATTTTTGGCAAAAATTTTCTTAGACTCCTCCAAAAAATGAACTGCCTCCCTCATATAATTTGAACAACAAGACCCTAATAAAAAAAAGGTACAAAACTCTTTTTGTATTCTTGCAAATTTTTTATCCTCTTAGGCCTTTGCAGTTTTAAAAGTCATCTTATTCTAAATTTCTTTTGAGGGTTTTAATGCAAAATAGATTCAAGTTTCATGATCTGTTTGAATTTAGAAAAACGTGGATAAGAACAATTTTGATTTTTTAAAAATAATTATTTAGATGTTTTACCGCGCTCTCGTTTTCACTCATTTTTAAAAATATAGGGTACTTTGAGCATAAAATTTTTTACTATCAAATGTTTCTTTAAAACAGTGTGAACTACCCCCAAAATGATTTCTATCAAATTTGCTATGTAACTCAAAGTCAATAGAACATAATCAGTGATAATTTGTTGAATTATCGCTAATATACATTGGTTGTCGTGTGTACTTGTTGACAAGAACGGTACCCATTTTTTATACCCATTATATAATTTTTGTAAATTGAAAGTCACCTGTTCCTGTGTGTATGAAAGAGACATAAGTTGCTGTAAATTTCACATATTTCAGTTAATCAGTTAATATATTTTTGGGAAATTAACAAGTTTTACAGCAGCTTTAATGAAACGTTTGATTTTAATCTAGTTTACTGATTCTTGACCATTCATTTTTAATGCAGTGTCTCGAGTAGCCCTTGTTTTCCAGCTTTCCATAATGAAATTATGCGATGAAAAGTGGTCACATAAACTGTTATCAATTCATTAAAGATTCAATAATTAGAGAAAGTCAAGTTTGATGTCATTTGATTTCTATGTTGTAAGTCATCGAGCTGATGACATTATTTATTGAACACCCCTCGTAATTAAAGTTTTGTTATATTTGAAGTTTTCTTTATTCTAAGTATATTTTTCTATCTTCCCGTTTTAATTATTAAATATTGGTAATCTGCATTTCATAGGATTTCTCTGTTTCCCAATGTCGCGAAAGCAGATTAAATAATCTTTTCGATCTTCAATTGCAGATTGCTCCGGTTTATTAGATTCATCTGGCAAAACAGTTATGTAGCTATTTCTGTTTTTAAACATTGGTTTCTCATTACTTTCAATAGGAAACTCTTCGTTATAGTGTTTGGAACATCCAAAAACATTGGTCTGTTCAGCTGTTGTGGAGTAGGAATGTTTCCGCGTATGATGGGACATCGTAGATATTGTTCGTTATATCCAAACCATGGATTTCCCTGTATACTTCTGGTTGTTTGTGGAATATGTGTCGTAAGTGTTCTTTTATATCGACCGTACAAGCATATCAGAAGACCGCCAAATATAAACAGAACTAATGACACCAAAGCAATTGTAATAAATGTTGTCCGTGAGAGGTCTTGTTTCTCTAAAATTTAGAATAAAATTTTTTCTTGAATCATATAAGCACTAGGGTATGAGGTAATATATAATTTGTAAAAAGTCAAAATAGAAAGGCAAAATACATTTATATCCAAGTAATAGTATTATTTACATGTATTTATTAGTCTTTTGAAAGGCTAACATTAAGCAATCGAGTATAAATGGGTTTTCCACTGATAAGATTTTTGAAAAGACCAAGGGTTTCCTTAAAAGTAAAATTTACATTTAGAATTCCAAGAAAAATTTTTAGTGAACAGAGGAAGTAGTAATAAAATCGTACCACTGCATGGTTGCATGTTACATGTTATGGTCTCTGTGGATATGCTTTGACCAACACATGGTTTTCCGCCATACAATGGAGATGGTTCGGAACAAGTACGGATTCTTACACGTGCTTTTGTTCCATTGTTACAAGAAGATGAACACTGACTCCAGTCTCCAAAGGGAACAAATAACGACCACTGACCATTGACTAAAATGTCACAAATTAAAGAATAGAAACACATTGTAGGACATTTGACAATATTTTTTTTTTTTTATTTTTATATTTATTTTTGTCATTGATCTTCAAACTTTCGTCACCCACATGGCTCATTGGTTAGAGCGTCTGCTCTAGATTTTTTAAAGAAGGAGTAATCCTTCATCGCGGGTTTGAATCCCACTGCGGGATTCGGAGCCCGGGTTTCGGATAAACGTATAAACCGAGGACCCATGTCGCAGTAGGTGCTGGCACAAAAAAGATCCCTCGCTGCTCAAAGGCCCTGAGTGCCGAGGATAGGACAAAATTTGTACCCCTCCACCGGCAAGTGGTGGCGTCTCCATATGAGTGAAAACTTCTCGAGAGGGACGAAGCGGGAGAATAAAAATGGAATCTTTTATTGCGAAGCCCTAACCTCTACATATATGCTACAGCAAAATATGAAAGAGTCCGCTGGAAAAAAGCATTACGCCCCCAATCTTTACAAAATAAAGAACTCGGAGGAATAGTTAGATACCCAATTATATGCATCAGGCATCATTATGAACTTTATTTAGTTATGTGGATATTAATACTCCCATAAAGGACGACCAAGAATATCCGTGAATATGTACATCATTTATGCCGATTATTTTCACCCAGACCTCATCGTTTGCCACAAGGTCAAGCAGAACAGACTTGGCTCCTGTAGAATACGTTGTACTATCTCCGCTGAATATATTAGCAATATCACCACCATTTTTAGTTATTGCACATCTAACTTCCTGACCAGAATGGCTGAGAATGGATGCATTGATGAGATATAGACCGGAAACAGGTGCGCGAAATATTCCCGTAAATGGATCAAACCTATTGCCGACATTAGTAATGACTTTAGGGAAATGAACAGTATGGTCTATTCCCATATGCATCTGATGGTCCGTTGTCACTGCAGTAAAGCCAATTCTATGGCTGCTAGGTGAAGCAATGGTGGTGTTGACATTTTCAATCAGTAGTCGTTTTTGCACACCTGTAAATATAAAATTCTCAGTATATCATTTAGGGGTGAGGCAATATTATTGATTACTTGGGAAAGTAAAGAAAATTTTATAATGGACTATATTGATAATATAAATTGTATTCCCCGAATAATGAGTTATACACACGTAATGCTATAACTTATAAAAATGGTTCAATTGGTTCTGAGATAAAAAGTCGCTAGTGTAACTATACATGTACATGTAGTTATGGGTTCTTTGAGTGAATGATAGATCTTTGGATCAAAAGTGTACACATATGTAAAGTTTTCTTGATAATATATATCATCGCGCGTCGATGAAAAAAATAGACGAAATTGAATGCATATAATTTAATTAATTTTTTGTAAAAACGCATTACAAAGATAAAGGGAGAAAAGGTACAGGTGAAAACAATACAATTAACATTTTTTTCTCTGCACTGAAGGCCTTAGCTCAATATTTTTCTGTCTTTTCCTCGCTACATATTCTCTAAAACTTTTCACTAAACTAGGTACCTTAAATTGTATTTCCTGCAGGCTAGTTACATTGACTCATATTGTATTATTTAAAAAAGGCCTATATTATAAAGTACATCGTCTGAAGTCACTGTCCGAAGTCCGCTCATACATGTAGCTCTCTCCAGATGGGAGAGAATCCCATGTGACTATGTTAGCTGTAGAACTGTAGCGTTCTGGATTTATATTTTTAAAACATTGACCTCACCATAACGCTTCAGTTCCCGTAATGCAAATAAAATGCAATTTACGGCACAGGAGTTTTTGCGCTAGAAGCAGTATAAACACGGACCTCCAAAACATCAGAGGTGGGATCAGGTGCCATGATGGAGTGAGCACCCCCCCCCCCCCCGGTCGTCAGGTCACACCCGCCGTGTGCTCCTTTTCATGATCGGGAAACGATCGGATATATGTTGTGATATGGCCATTGACTAAAAAATAAAACCATAACGCTACAGTTCTGCAGTTAAGACGATGTTTAAATCAATGAAACATTTTTAAGGTCTTCCGTTTCCAACGGAAGACCTTCTACTGATTCTGTTGGTAAAGATTATTATTCTTTTTTTTTTCTTCTACTTCCTAGACGCCAACTTTGAAGCCTCATATCTCACTCATTTCTTAATAGATTTTCTAAATTTTCAGACATTATAGATGGTAATAAATTTCAAATGATGTCTAACATTTTAAAATTTTACTTCGGCTTATGGTTATTTCCCTTTATAAGAAAAATTATATGCTTTCGTTTCCGGATAAAGGCTCAAGACCACAAAAGCTGGAGCAGAAATTTTACTGATTTTAGGTAACAGAAGGATTGAAGTTGTGTACATCGGTTTTTGTTTTTCGATTTCTGTATTCA